TGTATATCCATAAATATATTGCAAATAAATAATTCACGCATATATGAATGCGTTCAGAATTCTGATTTACATTATTTGCAAAATAATTTTTGGCAACATCTACTTTTAGTCTTATATCTCTTATGCTCTGCGTGCGTTTTGTGTGATCTTAAGCATTTTCATGTTGTAGAGGTTCTAGAGAAATTTGAAAGATGTTCTCAGATATACTCTGGTTCGATAAACTGTAATAGTTAATCAGCGAATCGGAACATGCCTAGAGGTATCTTAAACTTTTCATGTTCATTTGAGGAAATATTTTATCTATTACCATCACGAAGCATGAATTACGGAGTTTTTGCAGAATTTTAGATAAGCTTTACTCATTACCTTCTTGGAATTAAAGTTAGCATATATAGCCTTGGATGACTATTTATAGTTCTTGTTAGATTTAATTAAATCTACCTTTGCATATAGGTATATGCTTTCTATGATTTTGTTTGATTGACCTGCATATCTGAACTCTGTTAAATGCCTTTCTCTAATTAAATTTTTGCGGCAATAATTTCATTTATTATGAATTTATACAAATTATATAAACATTATATATATATGTATCTGTATATCAGATAGATTTGTACACTTTAACGAGCTACTTCACATTTCTATTTCGGATTAAAGGCTAACAATCCGAAAGCTTGGCATGTGATTAATAATAATTTGACGTCCATTCGTCAAGCGAGCGCGGGAGAAATTGTAAATGTTTTTCGAGTTTGTTTTTTGAATGAAACAGAAGACCACTTAAACATTGGGATTAACCGCAGGCGGAACGGCCTATCAATACAATTAATGAGCATCATGTCAACAGATCTTCCCAGTGTCCATTCATTAGTTCAATTAGCTTGTTGTAAGGTTGGTTTTTGGTTACGGCGATCGAGTGGAAACTGATAAACAATATAATTCATTAGCGCATATAAAACTTTCGCTTTCGCAAGATCAAATCAAAGCAATGGCTATATACAGATGTACGTATGTTTCTTGTGCAGACAAACCTGTCTTACAATGCCAAATGCAAATACGTACATAAATAACTTATCAGACATATGAGAGTCCATATACATATATATGCATGTGTTCGGATATAAAGCATCGCTGGAACTGCAGCTCTTGACACGTAATCGTTCGACGGAACGGGGGGTTCGAACCCGGAACGCTACCAAAAACTGCATTCGATCGAATGAAACCTGTCCGCTCTGTGGCAGAAAGGAAAATCTTTCACACCAACAATCACTGCCGCAACGGCCCCTTGTGGCTTGTGCAAACAGACGAACAACAAACAAACAAACAACACAACTGACGTCGAGACAAACAATACACACACACAAACACACACAACTGACACACAAGACTCTCTCAACAACAAACATGGGCAGTCCAAGCCGCAAGACGACCAAACACTTGTGCATTGCCTTGCAGCACCGAGTCTACAAAAAACTATACACATGCTTGCTCAGAAAAAGTCTGCGCTTGCTACCCTTTCCCAAAAGCAATTATTGAATCAATCATTGATTATTTGATGTGAGCTTGGTGGCTGCTTTTACTATTTTTGCAATACCCATCTATTCAAGAAGGGAAGAGATGCTCATTACATTAGAGAGAGATAGATATTGAGAGAGATAGAGAGAGAAGAATGAGTCAGAGAGTGAGAGCTCTGTTGTGAGTAAGCAAATGTTATGATGGAGAGACAGACATATATATATATAGAGAGAGAGAGAGAGAGAGAGAGAGAGAGAGAGAGAGAGAGAGAGAGCTACTATCCGCCTCGATCGTGCTAGACTTTATGACTGGGAGGTCACATCGCTTGATGTGAAGAAACTCGTGAAAGTATGAAGCTGTGATGTGGGCGTGTGTTGATGCGCTGATGAAGTTCGTTCTAGATATACCATCTACATATGTGCTGCATGGTAGACATGGGACTTAGGGGAATATTTTAGGTTATATTTAGAATACATATTTAGAAAGATGTATGCAATATATAGACTGTCGCTTTGTTATTCATTTATAAAACTAGAAGTAATGAAGATGATAAATGATAATGATAATGATAATAATGATAAACTTAGAGTATGGAATGAGCTTTTATGGCCCTTTAAGATTACTTGAGTGCCGATATTCTGATAGAGGTCTCTCTAGCGGTGAGTCTGAAGCAATTGCTTAATTTGCTCGGCACGTTGGTGCGACTGGGCTCGTTCGTTAACTTGTGCCGTTACGCAAAATGTTCTTTTGGAATCAATTCAAGAAATTACCATAACGGTTAGCCCATCGCCGATCATTTCAATTTTGAGCCGAGTGTCGAGACAAGAGTCAGCGCGACGTGCAGGCATTCAGGCGCGACTCTACTTGGGGGCCTGGAACTTCGGGGCCTGTTTAGGTATTCATGGCTCTTTCAACGGCCCAATGGGTCGGTCTGTTGTGAAACAACAATGCGATATGCGAGGCGATTGGTCATTGCACTGCGCTCTGCTGTTTTCATACCCTGAACCCACTGAAAGTGTGTAGGCACTGCATTATCTTATTGAAAGAGTCAGAATGCGATGTGGGCTGAATTCATAAAGCAATTATATTCTTGAACAGGACTAAAGGGAGAGTGGATCAGCAGGAAACTGATATATCATTACATATGTACATAAATTGTTCTTCCTTGATCATATATAAAGCCTTCCACAAATTGATGAAAACCCGTGTAAAAAATAGATAACCTTTTTTCATACTTCGACCAAACAAAATTGTTTCTTCTCATTGCTTGAAAGCGGGTTCAGGGTATCTCACAGTCGTATACTGTCACTAGTTGCAGTTTTTGGGTGTAGCCCACCTCATTTCACAATTGATTAATGATTTCACTGTGGCGCATACCCACTCCCAATTGAGCTCTGCAAATTAGCATAATGCCCGGCTATATGCGTATAACATGACCATAATCGGTGTTATATAAAAATCAATTTGATATGAAAGTGAGAGATAGACAGAAATAGACATACACCCATACATATAAACATATACCACACTCCGCATTGGAAAATTGATATGAAATTGGGCGTGTTTGATTCGAAAGTGACTTCAAATTTTTTTTATTACTTTTGTGGGGTCAATTAGCCTGTCCGAGCGAATAGTATTGTATATTTATATATGTATGCATGCTGGGGCTCTCTAGGAGTCGGGCTCTTTGCTTTTGCTTTGGCCAACACGATTCGTGACCGTGAAATTCGTGACATGCTCCAAAGATAAACAGTGAATGGTGTATACGAATATATAGTGTATGTATTTATATATATATACATATATAGTCATTATATATGTATTTATATAGCGTGATTGTGCACCAAATGTTTGGCTATAAAAGTGCCTAAATATGCGTGTAGCTGCTGATTTCAAGGAATCACGATATACACTCATACACACACATACATTCAGTTGTAATGGATAGCTATATAAACACACGGACACAGTCACATACATAGGTACAACTGTAAAATATAGTTGCTTGGAGAGGTACAGTGGGCTGTAGCAAAAACAAATAAATAAAGCAAATAGTTGTAAATTTGTAAATTCATCAATTTAATTTCAACAACCGATAAACTGCATTCATGGTTTAAAAAAAATGTAAAATATTTAAAATTTTGCTGAAGCAGTCCAAAGTATATTCGTTTTGCAGTTATCCCCAAGGTTTTGGAAGATTTGTCTAATTTGTCCCTCGTCAAATAGGTGTTTAATTACATCTTTTGATATATCTACAAAATATGCCGTTTCTTATAACTAAGTAGAAGTTGCTATCGAGAAAGATTTAACCACTATAATACCCACGATAATATATTCCATATATATTCCTTAAATATATTTTATATACTATACGTATACAAGTCTCTTTAAGTAAAGAAAATTTTCTTCAAAATTTAATACAATTCGTTAAACGCACAGAAGCAAGAATCATGATAATGGAAGCACATTAGCAATTGAGGTAAAAACTATTTGTTAAAATTATTTGGTTGATGTCCAAAGCCGAATAGTTTACAATCCAATCCTTTGAAGAGCAGCGACAGACTTTTGTCTGTCTGTGCCTATTTTTATGCTGCTTGCCCCGAACAATACGCTGGGCATAACAATAAGTTCTAGATGTGCTTGGGTCTGGTCTGTCCGAGTGTTCTATAGATCTCTTGCCTTCGGCATCGTTCTTGGAGGGGTCAACGACCTGCTGTTGGCGTTTAAATGTATCAAGCTGTAAACCTTCTATAACAATGAATTGGCAATTTCGTTTCATATTTCGGGGGCACGAAATCAAGTGATAACTGTATGCGATGACAGCAACATGTTGCACGCTTCTCATACTCGTTCGCAAAATGAAATGAGGGTATATTGGTGCTGTAGATAAGCCCATTTTTAACGGCTCCATTGAAACTAGAGACTTATGGTATTGAAACTATAGAGCGCGGCAAATCGCGAGAATTTTATCTTTAGGTTACTTCCGGTTGGTTCTACAGATTGCAGATTTGCTTCGGGTATAGTGAATCTTAAAAAACCGTCATCCATAGTTTAGTGGCAGGGAGTGGTAAATATAAGTTGATATGTTCTTGAGGTCGTGGACGAGTATTATGTCAAAAGTCTCGCCCGACTAAAACATTCTCTTATACAATATTTATTCTTATTAACTGGAGCATCTTTTAGAAAGACGGCATCTCATTTTCCCTTTCCATTCATATTCGTCTCTTTAGATAACCCAACTCAAGAATATTGAGCTAATCAATAACACGAAGAATGCGCATAAATCAAAGCCCGAGATGCGTACAACAAAAACAACAAATCAACAACAAATGCAACAGCAACAGATGAGTCATCAACAAATCATGACTGGAAAGGGAACCACGACAACGACAACAACAACATGGATGGAAACGCTGCCCCCAAAGGCAGCAACAATGGAATACAGAACAAAGGTGAGAAAATGTCAAGCTCAATTAAATACAAATTTATAAATCCCCAGCCAGAGACGAAAAATGAATTGATCCACAATTAGATACAAATAAAAATTTCTTTCTTCTCAAATTGTATTCCTTTTTTTTAACTTAGAGTTTTATTCATAATCCACCTGTGAGTGTAAATTTGTAAGCATATTATTCAATTTAAAACCAAAATTTTTGGTAATTGACTTTAAGTAGTTTCCAAGGTGGAATGAAGAGTTTGTTTTCATTATTATTATTCTTTTTTTGCCTAAGTAATTTATTTATTTAGTATTCAATATCAAAGATATTTAATATATTTAATTCAATTAAAGATGTTTAGGTAAAGGTATTGCGACACCGGCCCTGGGAAAGAGTTGAGAAATCAATAGATTTTTTGTATATTACATTGAAATATTTCTCTGATTGCATTTTGCAGGATCACAACTCGGATACGGACTCAGCCTTGTCTTCGGCGCCGCCCTCGATCAGTCCACAGCCGCCGTCCAGTGGCGCCGACAGCGGCGTCATGTGGCAAGCAGTGAGTACCTTGGCAGCTGCCTCAGATGCTTATCTATTTGCAGATTGCACATAGACACATACAGATATTAAATGTCAATGCCTTACAGCTGCAGGACTTGGACAAGTTGCAAAAGGAAGTCGAGATCTACCACAAGGAAAACGAGCGTCTGCAGACCGAATTGCAGCTGATCAAACAGGAATTGCTAACAGCTGAGAAGGCCGCGCTGTCGGCTAGCAATAATCACACGCATATCAATGAGCTTCTGCAACGGATCAAGGACATGGAGGAGGAGCAACTGCAGCTAAATGCGGAGGCCAACGAGCTGCGCGAACAGAATGAACTGCTCGAGTTTCGCATACTCGAACTAGAGGATGATAAGGTAAACAGAAAAGGAAAACAAATAGAGAAATAGTCCTATAAAGGATATCAGATATATATATAATTAACTGGGAAGATCAGGAATCAATGAATAATCTGTGATATAAGATTAATAAGTATATTTAAAATAAGTGAGCTAATCAGCTTGATATAGATAGAGATTTTGAAGGCATTTAATGTATTTAATTTCTGGGAAAATTTATCTATTGATAGCTTTTATGGAAGTTGTGTTAGAAAATATACTAAAAAGCGCTGTAAACAGCCTGTAGGAATGCAATTTGAGGAAAACTCTATATATATACAGTACATACATATGTATTATATATCTAGTACATCAAATATTATATGTAATCAAAATTGTATCCAATGTGATATACATGATAACGTCTCTTAACCAGATCCAAATATTATATCAGAAAGCACTCGAAAGAGCAACTCGAGTATGCCGAACGAGTTTATTGAATGCATTAAAAAACACTCAGAAGCCAGTTTACGCAAAACTCACTCGAACACTCACAGTGACTCAAAAGACTGCACGAGTTTTATGAATGAATTGAGTGAGCATTGAGAGAGTGTGTGTGCGTGTGTGTGAGTGTGTTTATGTCTCTCAGCTACAGCTGCTGGTTGAGCGACTTCAGCAGCTAGCTTCGTGCCTTAACAATGGTTTAGTTTTGTTTGGCGTCTTATAGAGTGCGGAAATTATTTTGATTAACGGACAACAGACAACGGACAACGGTAATTGCGATTAAAAACTGGATACATTTTTACTAGAGCAAACACATTTATTGTAATTGTGATAATGATAATAATGACAATAACAATGAGCATTCGCATGATAATAACTATGATGGGATTTTTATATAAACCAAAAGCGAGTGCAGCAATTGGCGAGTGTTGACCAAACGTTAAGATTGATTGCCTTATATGCACGCAGCTCAACTATCCAATAAATACAAGTATTTATATTTTTGATTTCTTTACGAGTTGAGAAACAACTTGAAGCCCACATCAGTTGCCTAAAAGGCTATGATGAGATGCTTTATTTTGCGTTTTTCATTTTTGGCAAAGTTCAAAATTGCTGTTGTCTTTGTTTGTTTGTATAAGGGTCTGCTCTTCAGGCATGTGTCAAACATTATTTGTGAATATATATGCATAGATATATAGTAGGTATATAGAGTCCACATTACTCACGACTTTGTTACACACCTTCTTTCGGGTTTTGTGTATTGTTGCTTTGAATTTCTAGAGCCGAACGCCAGAGCTGCGAAGCCGTTCAGCTTGAAAATCTAATTCGTTTGCTTAATTGCAATAACAAAAGCTAATTACTCTATATGTACATATATAAATATAAGTATATATACTTAAACGGCAGCTTAGTTAGTGAGTAGGTTTGCCAGTAAAGTGAAAATAACTTCAGAAGCATCGTTAATCAGTGGTGCATTAAGCGAATGCTAATTGAAGCCGTTGCTCGCATTACAGTTAAAACAATTTTCAGAGTCCACTATGAGATTGTCGAAATTTCACCTTTATTTACAATTTCTAGAAAACTATTTCAAGAAATATACAAAAGAAATCATAATTTATGAACCGAATATTACATTATTGGATAATAACAAATGATACAAAATATCCAAATTTGTGCACAACAAAAAAGTATAAAAATAAATAAATAAAAATGAGTTTGAAAATAACTAATATGATTTATAAATATTGAACGATAATAAAATAAATATATCAAGATATAATAAAATTAAAGAAATAATATTTGATAAATGTTTTGAAAACGTACTAAAATCATTTTTATTAATTAAATGATACAAATATAATAAATAAATATTAAAATGTCAAAAAATAATCAAATGACAAATATAAAATTTAGTAAATAAAAAATTGTAAAATTAATTTCAGAATGAACTAAAATTATACATATAAGTTGAATAATAATAAAAAATATTAAGTTAAATAATTGATATTTGAAAAGTGAAGGCAATTAAATTTATTAAAGTGTTTTAGCTAAAATTCTTTGTTATTGCAGCAGCTTGAAATGATTATATAACAAAGAGAGTCTAGTCTGTAAGCACGTTAGGTAGTCTGAAGCTATTTAGAGCAACACAGCTGTATAAACAAATCCATTTTGCACGCTTAAACGAGTAATCCAGGTGTGCATTACACGCTCAGGGCTCCTTTTAAAGTGATTTCTGTCTGCATGACTCATTCGCGTAGTGACAAACACAAAACATAGATTGGACTCGATTTGTATTTCGCTCAAAGGTTTACGTTGAACTGTTCCATGTGACACACTCAAGTCCCAAGCAGCTGAGAACGAGAAATGTTTAGAAGTAATAGAGGATTGTTGATTTAGGAATAACAGAAATATTAACGATATGATTGCTATTGATATTGCTGTAAATAATACAAATTTGTTTATATTTATTACTATTTATATAATATACAATCATAGCAGAGATTAAAATTATATATATTATTATTTACTTTACCTTTAAGTAAAATAGTATACTAATTATCCACAAGAATCATTCGATCAAGTTTCATTCTCATATGATTCTCTTCCATTATTCCCAGATGGATGGCACATGTGCGGATCATTGCCAGCGCCTGGAGAGTTTATTACGCAAGACCTCGCAGCAATTGGAGGAGAAGGACAAGCGCTGCTTGCAACAGTTGCTGCTGTGCGTGCAGCAGCTTGATCTAGATGCGGTCGTGGAGCAGGAGAGCTGGCAGTCAACGGTGCGTATATACTCTAAACGAAGGTGTGTCTGCCTGTGTCGGTGTGTGTGTGTTTAGATGTAGTCAGAAGTCAGTCAGTAGTTAGGAATTTTTTGATTTTGAGTGATCGAGATTTATATTTTGACCCCAGCAGAGGCAGACAGTTTTTTAATCCTTAAGAAAATCAATAACCACACATAAACTTTCTATAACATAAATTCAAGTGCGGCTTCTTGCTCTTGCAGACGAAGGCGGAACCACGGACGAGGCACAGTCGGATCGTAGCCACCGTCCAGCCGTACAGCAACAGTGCCACTCCCACAGCTCCGGCGACGCCCAGCAAGCAGCTACACAGATTGCAGAACAGCAGCCTCAGCGAAAGCGGCGTCTTTGTCGAATGCGATCTCTCGACAGCGTCCTCAATCGCGGAACACCCTCACCTGCAGTACTATCAGGAGCGGCTCATCCAGCTGGAGAGCAAGCTGCTCGTCTATGAGAGCAGCGGCGAGACTCAGGCCAAACACTTAGCGGAGCGCCTGCAGCGCGAGCTGCAGCTGAACAAGCAGGTGAAGGAGCTGAGCGAGCGCGTGGAGCAGCTTCTCGAGCAGAACGCTCTGCTGGACGAGGCGAAGTGCGAGTTCGAGGAAGCCGAGAACGATACACGCTTCCATTTGCAGCGCAACGAGGAGGAGCTCGAAATACTGCGACAACGTAACGTGGAGCTAGAGTTTAGCAAAGACGCGTTGGCCGCCAAATACCGGGACTGCCGCGCCGAGTGCCTAATCCTGCGCGACGATCTGTGTGCAGCCGAGAGGCAGCTGGAGCACTTGCAGGCGGAGCGACAACGGGTGAAGCAACAGTTGGAGAGTTTGAATCGTTCACTGCCTCTGCTGCTCTTCTACCGACTGCTGCAGCTGGCTAGGATTAGCGGTGGTGGTAGCACCAGCATGGGCAATGAGCAGTCTCTGCCAGAGCGGGCGACCGCTGGTGCCGGCCCATCGGGCTGCGGGCCCTGCCCGTCCAGTAAAGTCAATCAGATGATCAAAAAGAACTGCAACAAGATGATGATGAATAATAATAACAGCAACAATAACAACAATAACAACAATAACATTTGCAACAGCACGAATGCCCCGATGGATGCTGCTGCCGCACGTGAGATTAGCTATCTTAAGGAAGAGGTCAAGACTTTGCGTTGTTCCCTCAACGCGCTAAATACGCAACACTACGAGGCCATGGAGACCGCCGACTCGCACTGGGTCGATCTGGAGCGCGAATATAAAGCGAGAGAGGAGGCTTACCGTACCAAAGAGATGTGCTTGAAGCAGAAGATCAGCCAGCTGCAAGATTGCCTGCGCGATGACTCGCGCGCTGCTGCTGAGAAGATACAGCAGCTGGAGGAAGCGGAGCTTGGGCTGAAGACGTGCCTGGTGCGCCTAACCAAGGAGCATCGGGACCTGATGGAGCAGAAGCTGGCGCTGGAAAAGGAGGTCGACAGTCATGCCGCAGACGCGGAGAAGCAACAGCCGCTGGCCAATGAGCTGGAAAGCGAGAGACGACGTTGTCAAACCCTGGCCGAGGATCTGAACTTTGCCAAGAAGCTGCACCAGAGCATGGAGGAGCAGCTGAAAGCGGAAACGGATTGCCTGCGCCAGCAGATCTACGACCTAAAGAAGAACCTCATGCACCTCGAGGTGACCAATGGGGAGCTCAGGGAGGAGGTGAATACGCTTGAATCCAAAATCGCTGAAATGGAGCAGCAGCTGAAGGCGAGCTCGGAGCACGTCTGCTGTCTGGAGGATGAGCTGCGTACCAAGGATGAGCTGATCCAGCGCATGGAAAAGAAGCTTGGAGTCTGCCCCGAGGGCTCTAGCCTAGCCCACGAGCTCTTCGACAGCCCCATGAAGCGTGGAGAGATCGACAATTTGGAGGCGGCCAGTCAAGGTCTTGGTTGTGCTCTAAGAGATTTGGAGGTGGGTGACGTTCTTCTTATTTTCAATTGATACAAAGATGAGCTGACTTTGCATTTTCTTTTCTTTCCCCCCATTCCCTCTGTAGCGCCGAGAGCGCGAGCTACCCACGCACAAGGACTTTCAGACCATCGCCTGCACTGTGAAGCAGCTGGCGGACACTATTCTCCACGCCCAGAAGCCGGTGAGTGAATGTCAATGTCCGGACGATGAGCCCCTGCCTCCGCCGAAAATATGCAAAACCTTTGAAGTTACAATTGTTGACGTAGAAAACGCTGAAAATGAGTCAGAGTCTAAGCCAAAACCGTCCGGTAAAAAGCCGGGCCAGGATTTAAGGCGTAGCAGTAAGGCCAGTATAAGCAGTCGAGCCAGTCGAGGCAGTCGAGCCAGTTATGGCAGTCGAGGCAGTAGACCCAGTAGGCCCAGTTTACCCGGTTTCCGCGATTCACGGCGCACAGAGGGGGGCGGTCTGTCAATTGGGGACTGCCTTAGTCTTGCCCGCGTTGACGAGCCGCCAAAGCAAGAACCAAGTGAGAAGCCCAACAAAGTGTGCCAGTTGGACAAAGGCAAGAATCCGATGAATGTATTTAGGGAGCGGAAGCATCTGCTTCACAAGCGAAAGCAGTGCAAGCGCTTCAATAGTCGCTACCAGTTTCATAGTCGCGTGCGACGCTGCGGCGCCACGTGTCGTCCAATTTACATGGATGTCGGCGAGACGAATTCCCTTTGCAGTTTCCATTCGGCTGCCTCTGCCCATACGGCACACTCGGATCGATCCCGGCATACGACACGCACACAGTACGTGAAGGTGGTCGATAGCGAGTGGGATCGTGCCCAACTGAATACCTTGGTGCAGACGGAGCCCGTCGGGCGGCACAGTCGGGTGGTACAGGTGGCGCCCTCGATATGCGACGAGCAGTTGCAGACGGACAGCTGTAGCACCCAGGACTGTGGCATCCAGGCAGATAACGTCGGGGTGGAAGCGCGCCTGTTGCTGCTGCCGAGCCGAACGCGSGCATTCCTGCTGCTGCTGCAGGAGTGCATCAAGTGTGAGAGCGACAGCGACAGGTTCAGGGCGCGGGTGCTGCAGCTGTGGGAGGGCAGCGAGGAGTTCCGCGAGCACATCGAGCTCTTGCAGAATCTCTGCACTGACCAGGCGCAGGCAGCCCATCTCTATGAGAGCTACGACGTATTTGTCGCGGTGCTGGGCTGCGTGCGTGCCCTGAAATTCGCCCTGAAGCCCGGCAATTCGCGCTTGCTGCAGCAGCTGGAGGAGCGCATTAATGAGCGCTTGATCAATTTTCACAACCACAAAGTGGAATCGGAGTTCTATTGCACTATCTACTATCCGGTGGAACGGCACAACACCTTGAATTTTGGCGAGGAAATGTGATTAGCAAATTCATCGGACCTATCGCCAGCTGTACCTAGGCTTAGCTGGCGGTGCGAGTTTTTTTTCTGACCTTAATCGTTCAGTTGACTGTTTTTTTTTTGTACAAAAACTGGGATTAGACTTCATTATATAGTATCATTGTATTCTCTAAATTGTGTGTGCATGTTTGACTAAGGCAATAAAAAAGCAAAGTAAAAAAATTAAAAACAAAATCAAACAAAATTTCAACCCACCATGGATGACATCTTTCATGACTGTCGCAGTGAGAGTGACTGCGATCGCGAGTGTGCACATAAGGCGGGCATATTGAAGGCCTGCCAAGGCGACTTTCCGCAGGAGGAGCCTCAGCAACGCAAGGCGCCCATGGACATGCGGAGCATCATAAGACGCGCCGCACAAAATACGCAAATATTGCTGCGCGGCCTGGGCGTTCACTCCGAGTGCACCGAGATCGAGGAGCCGCCGTCTACATGCAAGTTCTTTTATCCCGCAACGCTCGAGATAAGCGCGCGAGTGCACACGGAGCCTTCATGCGGCGTGCCCCCGCATTGCCAGTGCATACTGCGCGGCAGTCCGGTCACTCTCAGTCTCCCCATGGAGCTGGATCCACACAGCGGCCAGGTCAAGGTCAACATATTTAAGCCGGCACCGAATACATTGGCTCATCCCTGCGAATGCGCTGCTGTTAGCCCTGTTGGGGGCGGGGGCGGGGGCGGTTGCGTGGGAGCGGGAGCGGGCGCAGGCGCTGGGGACAGGCGGGCTTGTGGCCAACCTCAAAATTGTATGCGCCGGCAATCGTATCGTTACGGAACCGCCCGGAAGGCCGTGAGGAGAGTACGTTGGGATGCATAGGCAGCTCAGTATTTGCCGTGAAACGCCGTCAAGTAGCAGCTGCTTACACCCAATTAGAGCGGGCGCTGGGGCATTCAGCTTGGGAAAGTGAAGGAGAAAACAACATGTGCAGTTGCTCACTGGAACTGAGGGAAGCGCCGTATTTGTCAACCATGAAAACGAGTAACGATGTCATATGATTGTCTGCAAACGAGTGATGTGAACATGCGTGTGTCTTTACTTTCGAATTTCTCATCTGTGGATACTAAGTTTTGGATAGTGCTAATATTTGAACTGATTTTGATAGAATAAAAAGTGAAATAAAAGAAATGTCTATATTTGAAAGTCGAGGTATAGTAGGCAGCGGCATTGTTGCTGTGCCTGACAATTCAATTCGTAGGCCAGTTAATTTTAATTCTTTCAAGGAGCAACATCGTAGAACAAATTTTATGTAAATTCATATAATAGTTGGAATACATTTGGTGCTTTGGTCCATTTAGCCATGGACAAGGACAGAAGTAGAACAATTACTGATAAGAAGACATCACCTGCCGCACGGCGATGTAAAAAACCAGAGACCTGCATTCACTTGCGCAGCCAGCGACAGAAGCAGGGAAATCCCTCCACCCAAGTGCTGTATCGGGGCCCCAATTTTCAGGCCCATCGCAGCGACGAGGATATTTTCTTCGATTGCCTGAGCATCAGCGACACCGACTTTCCTCGAGAGGGTCAGAGCTGCAAGAATATTGATAGCTGCAGATCGAAACCGGCTAACAACGAACAGACTAAGCCCGTAAGCTGTAAGTCCACGTGCAGTGGTCAGGCGTCCGGCACTAGCAAATATGATGATCCGGAGGCTGTGCGAGCTGCCCTCAGACGTGCCGAGAATGTGACACAAATGCTGCTCAAGAACTTTGAGAGGAATCAGGGTGATAGTAAACGTCAATGCAATGCGACCCTGGAGATAACAGCGCGTCTACTGACCGATCCGAGGCCAAACGCCTCAAAATGTCTGCAGGGCAGGCCAGTTACAGTGCAAATGCCGTTGAGGTTCGATCCATGCTCGGGCCAAATGGTCACATGTGGTCCATCCCAACCAGTTGACAAGTCGCAAATGTCGGTGTGTTCGAAGAATGCGTCTAAAGGTAGGGCTCCCTGTAAAATATCATGTTTCAGCTTTAAAGATGCTTCGGAAGCTGAGGATTGTAACATTTTATTTAAGGGCTCTTGTTGTATCCCCAAAGATTACAGTTGCCCGGTATCCACATGTCACGCACACCAACCGGCCCCCGTGCCAGCACCCCTCCCAATACCTGCTCCGGCACCTGCTCCACCACCTGCTCCTGCACCTGCTCCAGCACCCCCGCCAGCGCCAGAGTCAACATCAAGCTCCGATACGGAGCTTGTTCCCCTGCCCTTAGTAATGCCCATACCAAGCTCCGAACAAAAGCCCGCAACAGAGCCCGTAAAAGAGCCGGTACCTGTGGTACCTGTAACAGCGCCTCGATCCGAACCAGAACCAGTTGAATCCAAGACTTTGACACCGCTACTCGAGAAGTCGCCAGTCCCCTCCAAAATAGAGGGACAACTGAAAAAGTATTTTTTGGCGCTACCTCAGCATAAGGAGTTCTCGAACTGCTCCCCGTGCCGCTTCGATCCGAGCCCCATTATGGACGAGGACGGCAATGTGTTTTGCCCAGGAAATTGTGGATGCTGTCAGTGTCCCTGGAAGCAACGTACTTTAGACGACAATCGTGAACGCGTCAATGTGAAGGTCTGCCGATGCGTGCAGCGTGGAACCATCTTCTCAAACTTTGACGAGCGCGACGCTTGCAGTCAGACATCCTACTTTGACTTTTGTCCTTGTCGGGAGAAGGCTGAGGCCAAGTTTCTCGAGTTGTACGACAAGGAAATGTGGAGTGAGCCAAATTCGACGCGCGGTCGCGAGGTTCTGCTCTCAGAGATCAAGGAGCTTAAGATACCGCCGCAAGCCCACCAATCATAGACTTTCTCAACCTTATCGCAAGCCCTGCTTCGTCGCCCAATCAGTTCCTTGTTCCATGGCTTTCTAATTTCTAAATTTAATGTTCTTTCCCATCAGAATAAAATGTGCAAATCATGTCCAACGGCAATCTAACGACTCTTCTCTTTCATTTATTTTTTTCAGACTGCCCAGCTCTGATGTATATGCAGGACGAGCACCGCGACCCAGGAGTTTGCCACAATAGCCAAAACATTCAATCCGACCAATCCTGTTTGAGAAATAATCCCCACGGGGCTAACAACCAATGGCAATGCGCCTGTCAGTCAACCCACACGCAGCCGGAAATGGACTACCCAGCAGGGAGTAAGCCATCTCAGACGAACACATCCTATCTCTACAAACACTATAAGCAGTCACACTGCAGCAATTTTGTACAGGATCAGCCATCGCAGACGCATGACTTGAATCTAAATTTCAATGCCCTGGATCAAATTCAGTATCCCTCCCCACAATACATATGCAGGATTATAGACAATAATGATGAACGTGATCATCAGCAGGAGCAAAATCTGCAGCCCTCGTGTCTAGAGAATTTGCCGAAGACCACTCAGGATGCCAATGACTGGAGGGAAAGGGTCCTGCCCGAGTCCCGCCCACAATACCAGCAAACAAGTATATGTGGTATCTCCAAATCGAAACCCAGTATACCCTCCACAACAGCCATTGAGTCCGCGACCTGCAGTAATGCAGCTAAACTTAATGCGCTCAAGTATTGTGGCTCTGCTGCAAAATCTGCAAGCCACATACCGTGCGTATGTCCACCGTCTCCCTGTGAGCAATTGCCTCCCGCACCACCTCCAAAACTTGAGTCCAAGTGCCCAATAACGAGTTACTACACCATGGAAACAGACGAGCTGATTGAGCCTCCGAATCCTCAAGAAAGCTGTCCTGACAACTACCGTCCGCCTCAGATCTGCGGTACTCAAAATGAGATTGTACCCACATATGCCAGCAATGTGTATATCCTGCCAGACAATTTGAATGCCCCAGCGAATCGAGTCGAGGAGTGTCCACACAAAATGGAGCCCAATCTCACCAATTCACTCCGACGAATGAGTGGACAGCTGCCATGTATTGGTGAATCAGAATTCGCCTCTTCGAGTCGGTACTTCCCCTTGGACACAGTCTTCGAAACTGACGTGAGTTGCCGCAAAACGGAAGAAACCATGAAAGATGAGGGAACTAGACGACAATGCGCGTGCGATAAAAATGATAATGCTGCCACTTTACAAAGCATGCAGCCCAATATGGTTGACCCAGTCGAAGCTTCCTGTGAGCAGAAGGAGGAAGTCCTAGAATCGAGTTCAAGTGAACTGACCTGTCTGTGTAAAATGGAAAAGACAGGCGTGCCACCAAGCACTTCTCGTCCCCAGAAGATCAACGCTGGCTACTACAGTTGCGCATCCGGCGCCAGTCAACTGGTTGATAATCGAAGTAAGGGCATCTTTGGTCTTAAGGATGAAAATCAAAGCGGTCCGTGTCAGTCAACCCTTGGGGATGGAGGACCACAAAGATCTGAAGCTGCGAAAGCTCAAAGCTGTGAATGTGGTAGCCAGGACCAAGAAAAACTAAGCCCAGTAGCAGTTTGTCAGAGCTCAGCGCCATCCGAAAATGTTCCAGAGTGTTCAGACTTTCAGGAGGAGACGGTTGGTGAGCAACAGTATGAAGAGCCTGACGATCAGCAGCCATGTCCGCCACCACCCTGCCCACCACCACCATGTCCACCTCCACCAAGTCCACCAGCATCATGCCCGCCACCGCAGCCATGCCCACCACCACCGTGTCCACCACCATGCCCACCAAAACCATGTCCAGCATCAGCTTCTGCCAATCAATATATAAAAAATGAAGACTACTTGGAAATGGAATCGATTTGTACAACTAAGGCAAGCAAACCAAGCCATTTGATGGATACAAGTGTGAAGAGTGAACGGTATTTCAATGTGGACACCAGTCACATAACGACGTCAATTAATTGCAGCAAAGTTGTCCAAGGTAAAGGAAATAGCGCCAAGATGGAATACAATGCAGCGCCTTGTACTCAGAAGTCATCGATGGGTTACACGGACAAGACCTCGTCTCGTTCGCAGTCTTTCATGGCGAACGTCACGTGCTTGTGCACGTCCATTGATAAGATGAAGCTATGTCCGACTGGTCGGGAAGGTCCACCATTTAAGAGAATTCAGGATAAGAAAGCCGAGCCTAGCTGCAATGCATCTCAGAGCACAAAGGTTGTGTTTATGAACTGCGGGGACAAGTTCCGAGACTGCAATTCCTCGTCCGACACATCCGTATGCAAGAATTCATCCTGTGTTTGCGCAAATACACAGAGCGCGGATGGTAGAGCCCAACAAAAATCACAATCAAGATCAGTTTGCTCAAAGTCTTTGGGTCCTTCGATGTCCGCCGTAAACGCTGAGCAAGAGAAATGCTCAAAATGCTCTTCTTCCCCTAATGAACAATCGGCAAGCAAAGACTCCAAATCTTGTATAACGACTTCGGATCATCTCATTGAGACGAAAAAGTCTAGCGGACTTTTTGATTGTTGTTTACCTGGTCGAAAGTCAAAAACCAAACAGTACGAAGAGCCACCCTGTGGCCCGTCATGGGAAGAGCCCTGTCAACAACCGGATGTCATCTATTGTGATTATTGTGCTCCTGAACCTCCTTGCAGTCAAGATCATGTTCAGCAACAAGATAGCGTCTATCAATCTGAATGCGCGATAGAGCATGGAATGCAGAAATACCAACAACAACATCAGAAGCGGCACGACGACTATTGTGAGTGCGGTCCGGAACAGCCCAATTGGACTGTTCCTTGCGATCAACACCAGAACCAAAGCCAGCAGGATATCTATTGCGAGTGCGCGTCGGACAAACAAATGTCCAGTTTCCGAAGCTGTGAGTCTGTACCAAGGGACCGCTTAGCAAATATAATAAATTTATTGAACGACACCAACGATTGTCGACTGGATCGCACGGCTGTTATACAGGAACTGTTTCGTGAGCTCACGGCAATGCTGCGCGAGGAGGAAGACGACGAGCAGGAGGATATACCACTGAGCTATGAAGATTGCATGGCGGCCGTAACTTGTGGTCGAATGCCCCCAACTAAGGTGGCGAAATCAAGGGATAAAGAGGAGCGTATACAGTGCTTGGAAAAAATGGAACAATATGTGGAAAAATGTTTTCCCAGTAAAAAGACGTGTTTCCCTGTGGAACCGATGGAAATAGTCGCATTCCAACCTGATCCAGCCTTTGATCCATGCCGCAAAGCATATTCGACGGGCTCCGAGTCCAAGACTTTTATGGGTAGCTGCACTACCGCCACAATCTATAAGTCCTGCGAAACGGCCGACTCAAAATCAAAAGGATACGAATCTTGTGTTTGCAAAACAAGTGAATCCAAATCGTCCTGCTACAAATCTTGCGATTGCAAATCTCGTAGTTCCAAAAGAAGCGAATGTAAATCTTTTCAGTCCAAGCTAACGGACAAGACCCCATGTGATACTGACACGATAGGTAAATCGTTACTGAGCGAAGAGGGTGGTAAGTCATCCGTATCACCTCCGAAAGCCTCAGCTTCAGGCTCTGGCTCTGGCTCAGCACAGCCGGAAGCGCGAACAGATGATGAAATTCATCTTGAAGAAGAGTGTTGCCAACTAACAGTCCGTGAGGAGCAGAGTAGCAATAAAAGCCCTCTTGGACAATCAATTCAAGAGCAGAGCAGCAATAAAAGCCCTCTAGGAGAATCAATTCAAGAGCAAAGCAGCAATAAAAGCCCTCGGGGAGAATCAGCGCAAGAGCAGAGCAGCAACAGAACGCTACGAGGAGAATCAGAGCATTGCAGCAGTACTGGCCGTCGAGGAGAATCGGCACAAGAGGAAATGAGCAACATGAGTCATCGAGGAGAATCGTCAAAGGATCGTTGCAGCGAGAGAACCCCTCGAGGAGAATCTTCAAAAGAGCTCTGCCAATGTGAATCTGGAAATTCTGGTGCGTTGCAAAAAGCTTCCTGTCAATGCGAGTCTGAAGTGGATGATACATTAAGTCCGCTTACGGATAGAGAACGACTACTATGCGAATATATGATGCGGCGCATGTGTGAATTGTGTGAAGACGATCAGCAGCTGGATGAGGAGGCCACAGAGCAGATGGATAGACCTGGAGGACCTTGCATTTGCTGTCACTGTCGCGCGGTCGTCTGTGATAACCAATGCCTGACGGTCTCCAAGACACTGGATGCAGTTAAATATGATCCCGTGGCCGAAACGGTGAGTACACTTGCTGGGATTGCACAGGTTCGAGCCAGTCCGACCGAGAAATCTCGATTTTCAATTACCCGATTAGGGAAACCTTCGCTTAATGCTGATTTCTTGATGCATTCTTATAAGTTCACATTTTAATTCTTTCAGAAATTTTTCATTGATTCCATCATCTGCGACTTGCAAGCCATGAACCATGTAATGACCAAGAACAAGATAAATCCCAAGGTAAATAATACTGCATGCATTCATTTATACGCACATTTATTTCAATGTTTATTTTGGTTACTGTCATAGGATCCCAAGCCCTCGGTCTGTATGGGCAATGCACCGGGTGACAGTTTCCCGGTGACCATTACGAGTGTCTCCAGCCTGGGCTGTCGTGCGCTCTATGTACGCTGGGAACTGGAGGACTGTGCCGGCATCGGTGGCTACGAGGTGAGTGCTTGTATATTAATCTACTAATCTCAGGCAGTTTGAATAATAATTTACTCCCGTTCGTTCGATCAGATATATGTGGATGGCCATTTGACCAATCGATTTTATAGCTATCGCCACGAAGCGGGCGTCGTGGCCAATGTGGACGTGACCAAGCCGCATCAAGTTATTTTACGAGCCCAAGCGGTGGGTCAGGAATTTCCCAGCGATGGACCTGGTTGCCCCAACAATAAGATGGCGCCCGCCTATCCCGAAATGTCGGTGGGCGCCTCCCGACCCTGGACCCCGAGCATCTTCTTTTATGCGCCCTGAACCCTGAACAAAGTGCTAGTCAAAAGTTTCTATTCGAGTTTTGTCCAATCCTATTGTCTTTCCCATTAGTTTAAGTTTTATCGATTGATTTTTGATCTGATCACTCTGATGTATCCAAGTTTTCCATCAAACTAGCAACTAGAAGAATCTGAAGTCCACTCATGATGCATTTACTTAAATGTGCCTTTCAAATCAAATGTTTTCACCGATGTTGCACGCGTTGCTGCGTTTCTGTACGCATTATTATGTACATAAATAGGATGTTTGAATCTGTTATATCAAGAAATTTAGAGATGGGCAATGCGAACAAATTGTAACAATTCGAAATTGTCTGTCTTGACAAAATATGAAAAAACGTTATTAAAATGATATTTTGAAACTGTTTTGCTAAGAGGCAATCTAAAGTCGTTATTGCACTGCACTAGAAAACAGTGTTGAGAAGTTATCAGTGAGTGTTAAACGGAGTTGCGAAGCAACAATTGCACCTTGTATATAATATCACATAATCTGTCCTGAGCAGCTAGAGTTATGGTGAATCACGATTTAGATTGATTTGATCACAATAAGTCACAATTTATTCAAATGAATTGAACTCATTTACTAAATTTTATTGTTGAGGACTATCAAGTCATAGTTAGAGAGGAGTGTGAACGAATCACAGTTGAATCTTGTTGAATTTTAGAGAATCATAATTGAAGAGATAATCATGTCACTTTACACCGATATCAGGCAATATTATCACAATTAATTACATACGTGTATATTTTATATAAGCATATTGATAAGACTCTCAAAGCAGCGCTACTCTCGCAAAATACTCATACACGAAATTATCTATGAGGCTTCTCGGCGCCCATCTCTATGGAATTTACGAAGTTACCTATATATAGTTAGTCTGCCGTTTTAGGCAAGCATAACTCTTGCATTGCTGTAGTGAGCGTTATCTAGGAAGCACCACACATACTTACCACCTGGAACGTAGCAATTGTGAACCGAGGTTCATGCTTGAATATACGTAGTTTTACTCACTTATTTAATGCGCATTATTTTTACTGTGAGTGTATACAATAAAGTTAACATTTAAATGCATGAATCGATGCGAAGGCGGATTTTCTGGGGCGGCTATGAATACAATATATGTCAGCTAATACTAGGACGGTGCGTAGGCGCGGCATGTGATATGTGGAACTTAAGTGTAAGTGCAGTTAACTATCTACGCAAACAGGGCTCGCAGGTGCCGGGCACCACAAAGGATGGATGGCACTCGGGGCACTTTGGATTCTCGCCGAACCATCTGCCTTGAGTGGAACTGCTGCTGAATGAGCTACCGCTTCCGGCTCTTCGTTCCGGTATCTTCAGCTGAAATGAGTTGTAAAGATCCCCGGCCACACTGGAGCCGGGTGCATAGCCCGTCCGTCCGATGGTCTCCAGCGGAAAGGCATATTCCGGTATGAGCAGCTGCTTGCGCAGCTGTGTTATATCCGATGTCAAAGGGGAGCTGGAGCCCGAGCCGGAGCCGGTGCTGACCACATCCGCGCGTCGTTGTGCTTTCTCCGTGGACCCCAGGGGCAGCTCGTTGGGCTTGATGGAACGCGAGCTGGGCAGTCGCTTGGGTGCAGCTCCACTGGCAGCCGCCACAGCATTGTTGTTGGCAATGTCATTGAACTTGGAGTTGAAGCTCTCCAGTTTGACCTTAACATTGTAGTCGGCCTTTGTCTCCGGGTACTCGCGTCCATCCACGCCTATGGGCGGATCCAGCTTTGGCGGCACCAGCCCATTGGCGGGCACCTTCCACTCGTAGTAGATGGGCGGTCCCTGGGTCGTGGCTATGTCGTGTGGCACAAAGTCCACAAATGGCGGCAACAGGTCATTGAAGGGCAGCTCGCCCTTGCCTCCAGTTCTGGGCGCCACTGTCGAGGTGGGCGTGGTCTGGCGGAACGCTTGCGCCGGCGTGGGTGTTCGATGCTCTGTCTGAGCCACAGCTGGACGATAATTGGTTGTTGTGCTCGCCGTGGTGGCCGCCGTGCTCTGGGAGAAGGGCTGTCCGGCGTAGGTGGTGGGGCGACTGGGTGGCCTGGTAGTGGTGCTGGGTCTGGCTGCTGCCGCCGAGAAGCGGGTCTGCGTCGCGGCTGTGCTGAAGGGCATCGCTGACGATGTGCGCAAAGTCTCCGTAACCGGCTGCACCTCCTGGACGTCCTGATTGTAAATGGGATATACGAACGGAGGCTCATAGATCTTCGATGGGGGTTTGATGAACTTCACCAGCTTGGTGGAGTTCTTGGTCGTCGGCTGCTCAGCAGAGTTAAAGTCCGCCGAGGTATTGTAGCGCGTGCTGTGACTCGTGCCCAGGTCATCCGCTTCTATGTCCACAGTCCGTTGATACAGCGCTTCCGTCCGCTTGTGTGACACAGGAGCCGGCGTGGTGGTGGGTCTGCGAGTGCTGGTGGTGGTGGTGGTGCTGCTGCTTACTCTGGGTCGTGGTTGAGGCGTGCTGCTGGTGAGCTCTATTTGGGGCTCAAAGGCGGGAGGGAGAATAGTGCGGCTGGGTGGGGGAATCCTCCAGCGCGTTTGACCATTTTGTGTCAGCTGTGAATCAAATTTATCGGGGCTCTTTACGGAATCATCGCGTATCTGATTTTGACTAGGCGTCAGCTGCTGCTTAGTAAGAAAAAGAGAGAGGGAGAACATGCGAGGTGAGTGATAATAGGGATTTATATAGTGCTCCATGCTTACCTTGTATTGGTTCCGGAAGGATTCGCCAGAATAGTCAGGAGCATAGGGACGATCTAGCAGATCGGGACGGGGCGTTCGCAAGCTATTTTCCTCATCATTGACAAACGGCTTATCGCGCTGACCTAGGAAAACATTTTAAATGCAAACATGTATGCTAATTTCTACAAAAGCTAACGTAATCTTAATGGAGTTCGAGACAAGAGTCACTGAGACTTACCTATCAAAAGATTGGCCGCATAGTTGCTCTCAGCCTTGGAGCAGTTGACCATGTACCAATGATCGCAGATGAGCATGCGCTGCTGAAAGAGCGTCGTATTGGGGCACGTATAGCTGAACTGACGGCCCAAGCCATCGCACATGTGATAGACCTAATCATAATCAAGCATAACAGCAAACAGCATAACAAATAGAAAATTGTGTATTACATTTGGTCACCCACCTGACAGCCAGTTTCCACATCCGCATAGTAGCCCGCCGGTCGTCCTGCACACGAGAAGGAAGTCTTTTGCGTGTTCAATGCAGCTTGGCACTGAAAAACATTAAATTATGTTTTTTTTTTTTTTATTTTAATAATTTATTTATAAAAGTTATATTAATATTAGAATAACTGATAAAGTTCAAAGTTACAGGACCTTAAATTTNTTTTTTATCGAGAATAATCGAAAATTTGATTTTGTTTTTTTAGCCTAACTTGAATACTTTTAAACCTGGAGTCTTCAAATTTGCGTTGTATATAAAGTTAATGAATACAAAGATTTTGTATTTTACAGATTTTTGATACCACGCCCCCTTCGCCCCAAATTTGTAAAAAACGCATTCCAAGTACTAGAGACTTGTGCTTTGGAATGTACATACATTTGAATTATGATTACGTACTGAAAGTTTCATTAAGATTGTAGGTCTACAAAAGAAATTATTCAACAAATAAATTCTCATAATATTGCCCACACTGCAGMGCAGCCCAAGCGCAGCCGCTGCTTACTGGACAGTTAGCAGAGCGCGTTGTTATACGCGCGTCTGGATGCATGTGTATGTATGTGTGCATAGAAGAARTGCAGAATGATWAGAATATCAGCTTAGAGGGTTCAGGGTATCTCCTAGTCGAGCAGTCTCGACTGGAGCCTTCTTACTTGTTTTATCTAACACTTAATTCGATTCTTTAAGAAGAAGAAGGAGTAAGAATGGAAATATTCATATTCCGTGCACGTATTACAGGCGTCTAAGGCTCTCTACACATGTATGATGTGGAAAAGAGGTGATCCTTATTAGTAGAGGAAGATCCAACGGATCTAACGGTGGGTCGTGCAGAGATAAATACAGAGTTGCAATATATCTGTTCATGCATAGTTGCTATAGGAGAATAGCGGCGCTTGCGGCGCTTTCCCAAGCCAACAGCTATTAGTGAAGCTAAACAAATGATAGCGAGTACCCTGCTGTCTGATCAAGATCTATTCATAGTCGAACTGAGTACTCGTGCCAAGACCAAGACCATGTGCGATTGTAGCTGCCTGACTGGCTGACTGTCTGGAAGTCTGTGTATGGCACGGCTTTGGGCTATAGTCCACCAGTTGATGAATTGAAGTGATGTCATAACTTGGCACATGGTGCCACGGCTGCTTGGCTTGCAACAGTCGATGGGCCCAATGCGGCGACCTGCTGCTGTGTGAAATGTCAACTTTGTGTGTTGTGATTTTCATACTTTTTTGTTGTTTTGTTTGCTGTTTGTGTTTTTGCTTTTTGTTTAATTATATAGAAAAAGTCTTCATGTGTCTCTCGCAAATTATAGCCCAATGACTTATCGAAATCTGCCACTGGGCCGCCTCAGCGACAGCTACGTGTGAATATGTGAATAAGCTTCCGTAGCCAAGTCTTCAAAGTCCGTGAAAAATTATTTTCCCAGCTGCCTCAAAACAATATAGTAAACCACGTGAGGCTACCGCCGCGCAGCCCTACAACATCTTATATAATCTTGCAAAAAAAAAAAAAAAAAAAAAAATCAGGAAAAAAATCTGAAAATAATAATAAAATATGTATGTACTGGACAACAGATTTTTTGTTCAGATAAATTCGTTGGACGTTCGCTTTTTGCTGAACCCTTCGAATTCCTGAGTTAACGTGTCACAGTTGATTCGACGGCTGTGACTAAAGTGAGGCTCCATTAACGAGATAAAAGATATTTGCTGACATTTTGAATTTCATATTTTCATATTTTTGTTCAAGCTACATAAAATAAATCTATTATTTATAGCACAGCGTTGTCTAAAGATCTACACATTTAGAGCTATAAAGACTGCTATATTTCTTGATGCCATCTATGTACATATATAGGGTATACAACAATACCACAGAAAAACATTTATGTATAAGCATATATACATACAGAGCGAGAGAGACAGATATACAGATCTTCAGAGAGAAGGAGGGAAGAGAAGTAGAGTAAAAGGGGCCTAATAGTATAGTGACGGATATTGCATTTATCTGGGCAAAGGCAAAAGCGTCGTGAGTATGTGTAATTATTTGTTATTTAGCCATTTCCAGCTTTTTTTTTTTTTTTTTTTTTTTTTTTTTTTTTTAATTTAGCTAATATCTAATCACGTCTTTCATTATTTATTTACTACTTATTTTCTTAATTATATTAAGATTATGATAACATTTTAAGAGTCTTTGTCATTAGCTCAACTAGTTTTAATTTATCAGGCTTTTTGTGTCATAGAAAAACAACCAGAAATACAATAGCAAAGCAAGAAAGAGAGAGAGAGAGAGAGAGAGAGAGAGAGAGAGAGAGAAGGAGAGAGAGAAATAAATATTTATAATTATAATTTTATAATTTCATATATAAGTGATCTACAGGGTATCTTAAAGTCGCGCTCTCCTAACTAGAGCACATTTGAGTCGCGCTTGAGAAAAAGTTCTCCACACTTTTACATAGGAGCTCATCTGATTAGGCTTCCCGCTGGCTTATAAGGCAAAGCGATTAGCATTCATTTGCGACACTGTGGGCTGACAAAATTGTTTTGCATTCGCCTTATAAGGGCGCCGAGACGGTGATCGACTCGGAAACTGTGAAGATCTTAAAGATGTGGCTGGCTGGCAATTTGGAATACCGAATGGCTGACTAACCAAATACTTGACTCGGGGCTAATTTATGTAATTTGCAATCCGCAATTTGATCACATGCTGCGAGTAGTTGTATTCAATTTCATAGTTAAATGCATTTCATTTACTGTCGATGCTTACGGGGCTTTGTTTAGATAGCGGCAATTGGCGGATGCTTTGGGAGTTGCTTTTGAAGTCCACTGTTTCATAACCATAGGTTTAGCCTCAACTTCATCTTCGTTTCCATTTTCATGGCTCAACAAAATATCAAAAAATAAAAATAAAAGAAGTCAGAAAACAAACTTTTTTGTTACGTATTTTGTTCCATTTATTGTTGTAGCGTTTTTCACCTCTTTTTCGCGCTGTGCTGCAAAAGTGTCAGTAAAAAGGTCACTTGGCCAGCGACTGCGTCAACGTCTTTGTTTTAATATGCTTGAAGACCTTTGCCGTTTGTTTTCGGTTGTGTTTTTTGTTTCTGTGGCATGTGTGTGAATGAATACCCATATCAGAAGGCGTACTCACATAGACAGACCATAGAATAAATTAAAAATGAAACAAAGCGTAAAGAGCGCAGAATTACAACACTTTCCGCCGTTGCTTAAAAGCACTTGGGAAGTAACGCTACAAACAACAACAACAACAACAACAAAAGAGTCAAACCAAACTTAAAAAACCATAAGAAGAAGCTCAAGACGAAATACCTCTCAGAGCCCTAACCCAAAGGCTATTTCCAGTTACTAAAGCGGTAAATTTTTCGCAAAAATCATAAACACCCAATTTCTATTTGAATTTGCTGAGGTAAATATCGCATATGAAATATAAACAGACTAGAGTTGAGTCATTGAAATAACTCAATTAATGCAATTATAATTATTAGACTTAGACGGTAAGAGTTTTGTAGAAAAATAATAAGACAATAATTATTGTATTCGAAGAAATATATTTAGATATATTATTAGGTTCTGAATACTCTCTACTATAAATAGAAATTATGAAGACAGATAATAGACTCTGATTAATGCATAAAAGGTCTTTGCATTTCTATATAGATAGAACCGAATTTGAATAGTCGGTTATCTCAATCTTTTAATTTATAACTAGGAAGTGCCTAGAATGCATTTGATCACGATATATGTTAAATGAAAGCTTGTATATAGTCACCGTCTAGATGACAATTTACATGTTTAAATGGAAATGATTGCTAGTTGAATAGTCAATGGGTATTACGAGCCCTATTCTGAAGCACAGTGCGTAAAATTTATATATACAATCAATATAAAAACTCTAGTTTCAGAGCTGCGATTACATATATTCTGAATTGTTGTTTAATATGTACTTAATTTGAATACTCTTTTATGTAAACGAATCTTCCAAAATCTTTTACATTTTGCAAATAGTCACAAATTTTTGATAAATCTGTCTAGTAAAACAAATTAATGAATAGATACCGATGTGGCAATTACTAAATACAATTGTTAAGACATACTATACAAATATTTGATGAGCCAATTGAATAGCGAATGTGCTACAACTCGACTCTTAATTTATACATAGTAAATGCAAACCTCAGGAATGTTAATGATGATTTCTATATATGTATATAAATGTACATGCATATGTATATAAATTTATATTTAAAATATGTAATATGCACAGATCTCTTCGATTTGTATGAAGCCTTAGAGTATTGTGATATTTTATAAATTTTTATAAGTATTGTATATATAAATATATTAATTGTGGATACAACATACTTTAATGATGTAATAATAACAAATTGATTATGATTTTAATTGACTGGGTAATTGGTATCTCAATTTTAAATAAAAAGTCGATTTAACAAACAATTACTGTACTTAGCATACTACGTATTGTAAGATATCGCAAGATACATATTGCTCATATGTATTTATTGTGTACAAAAAACAAGTTAAGTTATATTTGAATATAATCCCTTTTTATTAGAAAAGTTTTCTGTCTTTAAGATGTAAACGAAGCTTAAAAATTTTTATTGAATTTTCTAAATTGATATAAAATAGACATTTTCTTCTTGGGCTCAGTCGAATCGACTGCATTCTTTTATGGTTTGACAACCATTAGTTTTATCTAAAAATCAATATATTCGAATATAAAATTTCTTAATTTTTTTCATTAGTGCTTGTGTGAAGAGGTATATTATTTACCTATTTACCATGACGATGGCTTTGTGTACTCCCATATGGTATTCACTCCATGAAATGTTAACACTCATTTGAGGTTGCTAATTTATTTTACAGTTACACGAAACTTTTATGTATTATTAGTTTTTTATGCTCAATATTTGCAGACTTTAATAACGACGAAAACAAATGAACGAAGCAGTGGACGGTCAGATTGCAAAGAAAAAATATCTCAAGAATGCAAATAAATGTCAGCGTAGGAATCTCCAGAAACATAGTTGCCATATTTGTATGATTGTTTTTAAAACGAAAGAGATTTAATAAAAGAGTATATTCAAGATACTTATAGCAGCGAAATGCATATGTTTTGCATATGTCAAAGATGTATATAATCAATCAAGTATCTTTAAGATACTTTTCATTAAAACTAAAAATAGAATAAAACAAGTAAGAAAGCTCTAGTCGAGACTGCTCGACTACGAGATCCCCTGAACCCTTGGAGTGCTAGCTAYTTYAATMWWTTTTCSYGTCTTTCAGCTTACACAAGAAACACACACACATACACAAACACATACACACACAAGCACCCACGCATAAACACGCATGGGCTGCAGTGTGCGCTTACTATGAGAACTTAATTGTTTAATAACTTTTTTTGTGGACGTACGATCTTCATGAAACTTTCAGATTATGATTATAACATGAATATGCATGTAATTGCCAAAGCACAAGTCTCTAGTATTTGAAATACGCNACGGACAGACGGACAGACGGACAGACAGACAGACGGACAGGGCCAAATCAACTCAGCTCGTCACCCTGATCAAGAATATATATACTTTGTGGGGTCTGCCACGCCTCCTTCTGCCTGTTACATACATTTCAACAAAACCATTATACCCTGATTTCCCATTTTCAATGGGTTCAGGGTATAAAAAAAAAATGCGTCACAAATACAATTATAAACTACACAAATAAAACTATAATGAACTTTAAGATACTTTTTCAGTCTGTCTCTCTCTAGCTTGGAGCTACGCAGACAAGTAAATTTTGAATAAATAATACATTAAAACGAAAAGAAAGAATGACAAAAATATGATGGCTCTAATATAGCCATGATGTGATATGAGCGGCTTGGCGAAAACTTACCTCACTGGCCATAAGCATGATGAAACAGCAGATTGCGAATGCTTCCCGATGAAAATCTTTCATATTTGCTGGCATTTTCGTCAACGTTTCGCCGTCTTTGTTGTTGTTGATTTATGTCGTTTTATGGTGTTTTGATTTTCTACTACTGCCTCCAATTGCCTAATCAATGGGCCAGCTTAGTGGACGCTTTGCTGGTGGTGGGGGGCTGGAAGTGTTCAAAAAAATATTGTAAATGCTAGCGCTCGAAAGTGCTCACTAATTGAGTTTTATATTGTTATCATAGCTCCAATTGTGCCTCACTTTTATATTGTTAACTCCAATTGTGTCTCGCTGAAGATGCTCGAAACAAACTTTCTTCATCAGCTTTGTGCGACTGATCAACAATGGGGCTAGGGGCTGGGGGCTAAGAGCTAGGGTAGGCAGCCAGGGTGAAAACAATTTTCGATTTTAAGTTCGTAATTAATTGTAATTTAAAAAACATTTGCAGTTTAGTTGTTGTATTTGCTGTTGTTGTTGTTGCCGTTGTTGTTATTGTTGTTGCGAACAAGCGGCATAAATTGTTGCCATTTTATGGCTGGCAGAATTAGCAACGCATTGCCTCTGCCTCTGCCTCTGCTTCTGCCTCGACCTCCACCTACAATTCAATTTGCAACCTTGCAGCTTCACTCTACACACACACACACACACACACCCATATATATAGATAAACTCTGAGTAAGTAGCTTGTCGTGCTGTATTAAATGCAGTTTCTTGTTGCTTTCCAAGCTTTCCAAATTTGTCAATTTGAACTTTGAACTATTTAACGTTGTTGATTTTTTGTTTTCAAGTTTTCGCTTTATTCAGTTGCTTTCCTTGAAGTCACATAAATCGGACCATTTTTAAAACAATCTCCAAGTCTATAAATCGTCTTCAACCAGTTGCATTTCGAGTTTTCTGTTCTTAATCTACATTCGATGACTGACTTTGCATGAGTGCTTCAATAAAATGTTGAAATACTCCATAGACTGAGTATTTTAGTGATCAAGTGTGGGCTTCAATTGATAAACTTGAGCATCGAAAGATCTTAACAGATATTGTATGATCATCGTAACTATATTATCCTTGAGTATCCCATAATCCGAGCAGCTTTTATTATGATTACGATATATTCCTTTTAATTTTTGTTAAGGTTATCCTTAGGAAGTCTTGACATCATTTATAATTCATAATTGAGTTCTCAAATTGAAAACCAATTGAAGTCTTTCCTGTTATTTGCGGCATTCCTCAGAGCCATTAACAAGATCATTTTATGCTCAACAACAAAACAAGTAAAAATTTGACAGAGTTTGTTTTTCCCTCTGTTTTGGGAAGTTTTTGTGTTTTGCTTTTGCTATTGGTTTGACCTTTTTGACAATAAACGGCAACTAGCAACCAAATATTTGCAACTTTATCCTCAGCTCGTGATGCTGGTTTTGTTATTGTTATACCCTGAACCCATTGAAAATGGGAAATCAGGGTATAATGGTTTTGTGAAAAGTATGTAACAGGCAAAAGGAATCATCGCAGACCCYATAAAGTATATATATTCTTGATCAGGACGACGAGCTGAGTCGATATAGTCCGTCTGTCCGTCCGTCCGTATAAGCAAAAGGATCTCAGAAGATATACGAGCTAGAGAGCTGAAATTTGGCATGCATACTCGTGTATACCATAGGCAGTACAAGTTTATCATATTTTTTCGATAACTCATCCGATAACTTTTTTATCGAGAATAATCGAAAAATCGACATTGTTTTTTCAGCCTAATTTGAACACTTTTAGACCTGGAGACTTCAAATTTGCGTTGTATATAAAGTTAATGGA